GGGTGTTCAGCCTGTTTTCTTTTTTTTTAGAAGTCTCCCTCTGTTGCTCAGGCTACAGTGCCATGGTGTTTTAGCCTAGTTCACAACCTCAGACTCTCCTGGATCCAAGCAATTCTGCCTCAGCCTCCCAAGTAGGTGGGACTGCAGGAGCCTGCTACAGTAGCCTGGCTAATTTTTCTGGTTTTTGTAGAGATAGGGTCTCCCTTTTGCTCAGGCTGGTCTTAAATTCCTGAGCTCAAGTACTCTTCCTGTCTCAACCTCCCAGAGTGCTAGGATTACAGATGTGAGGCACCATGCCCAGCTTCATAAAGTGATTTTTCTCTTAAATTTTTTTTGCAGTTTTTGGCCAGGGTTGGGTTTGAACCCACCACCTCCAGTATATGGGGCCGGCACCCTAATCCTTGAGCCACAGGTGTTACCCCTAAACTTTGTTTTCTTGAGACTCTTGATTTCATCTGAGTTTCTCTGGTATTCCTCCCTTTAGATAGGCACAGTGGAGCCAGTGCTGAGGTTCAGAAGGAGGAAGAGAAAAAGTTCAAGGAAGTCGGAGAGGCCTTTACTATCCTCTCTGATCCCAAGAAAAAGACTCGCTATGACAGCGGACAGGACCTAGATGAGGAGGGCATGAATATGGCTGGTAAGTTGGTTGGAGCCGCCTAAGGTGAATCTGACAGCTATAGCATTAGAATTTTTTCTAAAACACTCCAGGCAGAGAGTCTGTGTGTAATCAGTCATTGATACGCAGTGATTTATAACGTGCTCCTTAGCTATGAGGTACTATGTTAGATGCTAGAGACAACAAAGATGAATCAAATAGGTTCCCTGACCTCCAGGAACCCAGTGTGAGGGGTTTGAAAACTTTGGCCCAGGGGCCAGATTTGATCCATGCTCTAAAAAGACATGGAGTCAAGTGCATGCAGTTAAGTGTTAGCAGTTTCACAGCATGTAGAGTGGGCTCCAAGCAAGGGGAGGCTTGGAAGTACAGAAGAACTCCAAGGGAGCTATGCAAGTGCCTCAGTCTGGAAGGATAGAGGGGTAGGGTGCTAGGGGAAGGTGCTGGGGAGAGGTGAGGTTGGCAGGTAGCTAGATCAGACAGCAGAAGGCTGTGAGGGCTGTGTGTGGTAAGGAATGTGGGCCTTTCCTATTAGCTAGAAGTTCTTTTTTACCCACCACAAAGTGTATGCTGATATTTATGTGTGTCATACATTGCTATAAACCCTCAGAGATTATATTCCCCAGAAGACTTAGCATTAAGTAAAGCATGGCTGTCATTGTCATTGCCTGCTGTGGGCTAAGAGATAATAGAGGCCTTGAACGCAGTGTGCAGATCATTTCTAATGTCAATCCCTTCTCTTCCAACAAGAAAATCTATTGGAATTTAAAGTAAGATTGGTAATACTATATAGATAATCCTGAGTCCTCTCCAGTTCAGGGTAGGTGCAGTATTTGTGCTTATTAATAAACCTGAGTTCACTGGTAATAAACATGTTGCTCTGCCTCAAAAGTGAGAAAGGCTATAAGCAGGTGAAACTCTTGAAGTTTTAGTAGGCGTGCTGTGGATCTGCTTTTAACTCCAAAAAAATGTGATGGAGGTGAGGAGAGGAGTGAAGGAACAAGATATAATAATAGGTAGAAGCAGGCACAGACTGGAGGGTACCATCGGGAAGGAGGGGAAAGCTTAGCAGGGTGGGTTGCTGCTCACTGTGTCAGAGGGAGAGCAAGGACTGGGTGGAGAGTGACTCTGGCATGGCTTACTGATGGGGCCATTCACTGAGCCAGGGAGCCCAGGAGCTCAGGAAAATGAGCAGATAAGCAGGCAGAGAAAGTCACTTTTGGACACACTGGTGTGGGATCTTCTGGTGATCCATCCTCTGTGCAGTTTAGGAAGTCATTTGTGGCTGGGCCATTAGACCTGCCAGCCTAGCCAAGAGTGTAGCACTAGAGTCAGAATTTGGAATTTCCAGTCCTGTTGCTTTCACTGGCCATGTGATGTTGGGCACGTTACCTGAACTCTCTACATGTTTTGTTGAGTATAATAAATTGGGAATAACACCCTGACAAATCATTAATAAGATTAAATGTTATAGGGACGGTGCCTGTGGCTCAAAGGAGTAAGGTGCCAGCCCCATAATGCCAGATGTGGTGGGTTCAAACCCAGACCCGGCCAGAAACTGCAAAAACAAAAAGATTAAATGTTATAATGTGTTTAGAGTACCCAGCACTGTGATTAGCACCTGATAGGTACTTAATATATCATAGCTTTTTTTTTCCTGGCATGCAGTCTAGACATGGAATCAAATATAATAAATGATAGATCTTGTTCTAATATTTACTTTTGGTAGCAGTTAAGTGATAAATATAACCTTTTTAGTAGCAGCTCCAGCATTCTAGGGTGACCACATGGGGAAGGTTTTGTGTCAGAAAGTATAGGTAGCCCTGCCACATGGGCTGAGGCAGAGGAAGCTTTCCTTTGAGATCAGACTTGGAAGAAAGGAACATGTCCTAGGACTGGGACCAGAGAGCTCATTTTGCATAGGACAGAACAGATATGAATTATTGGGAAAGGAAGAAAGTGAGACTATTTGAGAAAGCTTTGGAGACCCATTCTGTGCCATTATTTTCTCTTCAGACACTTCTGATTTTTTTCCTCATCTTTTTGTCCCTTCCGTGTTACCCTCCTACACAGATTTTGATGCAAACAATATCTTCAAGGCATTCTTTGGCGGTCCTGGGGGCTTCAGCTTTGAAGGTGGGTATACCTACTATTCTTGAGAGTTCCCACGAGGTCACAAGCAGCAACTCTTTTGGGAGTCAGGAACCAAAAAGTGAGGACAGCTGTATTCTCATGTAGCAGGACCTATCCACTTAGCTATTGCTGAGGGTGAAGAAAGGGAGGTTCCCAGGCACACACTACCTTGGGGCCATTAACACATTTCTGCAGAGTCAAGGAGGCTTCTTGGCAAGAGTGAAGGTGTTCAGAAACTGCACACACGTCACACGCTCCTGTTTGTAGCCCAGGGGCCAGACTGATACTAGGGTTTCTCTGTTTTAAGTTTGAAACAGCCCCTGAAGACTTTTTCATGATCAAAGTGATCTTCCCTGGAAAATCCACAGAGCCAAACTAACAAGCCTTTCTTTTCCCTTTCAGCATCTGGTCCAGGGAATTTCTTTTTTCAATTTGGCTAATGAAGGGCAGCCACTCAGCACCCAGAAAATAGTCACTCAGTTTAACCTTGAATGTGGACACAATTCACCTCCTCCCTTCATCATGTCTCCGTGTACTTAGAGCAGTTTCATTTTCTGGTTGGATACCCTGTGTCTGAGAGGGGTGAAGGAAAGGGAGCCAGTGCCGAAGACTGCGGGTAAGGGAGGGAGGCGGGGGGCGGACAGGGAGGCAGCTTGTGAATTTTTGTTGTACTGTTTAACTTTATTAAAAAAGAAAAAAAGAGAATAAAATGGTTTGAACCTTTCTGGCCCTTTGCTCTGGCAGCTGCTTTATGTCACTCCAGAGTCAGTGGGTCAGACTTGAACCCCCAGCGTGAAACTGATCTTAACATGTACTCTGAGGTTCAGTACTGAAGTTCCACAAGCTGCCACACCAGGGCTATGGCACACTGAGTGTTGGCAAGTGAAGTGCTGCTGTCTCTCCAAGTTCTGTTTAGCATGTGAGTACTAAGGAGGCCATGGGTGTGCTGCTGGGCCCAGCCTGATGTCAGTCATGGAGAAGGCGAGTTCAGAAAACAGTAGGAGCCCCCAGAGTTCACCAGAAGCTGTGTGTGACCAAAGCTCACAGGTGAGCACAGGTAGGTGCTAACCTAGACAGGGCAGTTTACTTACATAGGCTTTCACAATTCTTGTTACCATTGTGGGCTCAAGGGAGGTAGGATAAAATCTAGTCCCTTGGCCCCCAGACCCTTTTTTTTTTTTTTTTGAGACAGTCTCACTTTGTTGCCCTTCGTAGAGTGCTATGGTATCACAGCTCACAGAAATCTCAAACTCTTGGGCTTAAGCGACTTTCTTGCCTCAGCGTCCCAAGTAGCTGAAACTACAGGCACCCGCCACAATGCCTGGCTTTTATTTATTTATTTTTTTTGGTTGCAGTTATCCTTGTTGTTTAGCAGGCCCAGGCTGGGCTTGAACCCACTAGCTTTGGTATATGGCTGGCGCCCTACTCAAAGCTACAGGTGCCGAGCCCCCAGACCCTTTCACAGTGGTGTGGGCAGCTCCAGAGCCCTGGTCTGGTTGCTGACTAATGGCCCACATGATTGGAAACAGCACTGTTGGCACATGGCCCTTGCCTTCTCCACTGGTTTCCCTTAGTCAAGTTTGGTGCTCAAGGTGAGTAACCTTAGGAGTTCTTAGCAGGGACACTTGAGGCTTTGCCTGAAGCTTAGAGTTTTGTTCCTTTGGTAGGAGAGATGGCCAGGGAAAGGCCCTCAACTGGAAAGGTAACAAGTTCTTTTCTTGAGCTCCTGCCCCTTTCTTTGCAGTGTTCTTCTCTGGTGCCTACGCCATGGTGCAATGATAGGACTGAGAAGGCCTGGGAAGTTAAGTTCCTCATGTGGCTGTCTAGTCCTCTATTGGCCTGGACCTCCTTAATATTTGGTCTTTTCTTGTGTTTGAAATAGCACTTAATCAGAACTGGGAAAAACCTGTAGTAGGAATTTTGGGTCTTGCTGAAAAATCTTCCTGATCAGATTGGGTTGGATACCTGTAGGCCTGGTACCCTAGTTAAGGGAGGATGAGAGGCTTTGTGCACCACACTCCTTATACCCAGCCAGCCCCCACCTTCTGCATGAAGCTAAGGCCAGGCTCTCTGCTTCCTCATGAAAGCCAACACTGTTCAGCTGCCCAACCTCACCACAGCTGTGCCCAGCCAGCAGAGGGGAGACAGGACCGATGGCCCCAAGCTGAGGGACAAAGCCAGTCCTAATACACCCAGCCCTAGCCCCAGGAAAGACTGAACTGGGCACAGAAGGTTGAGAGAGACTGCACACAGCTAGGATTAACATGATTTATTTCACTGTCAGTCTTACAAGTTGCTGAGGTTGAGCAAAGACAGGATAGTAACTTAAATCTAAGATAGTAACTTAAATCCAAAGCACTTTTGAATGACAGTCTGATTAGCAAGGTCCTGTTACTGAAAAGGCAGTGGAAGACACTGAGGAACCATAGCATAAGCAGCAGTGTTAAACCCTCCCCAAAGGCAACAGGTGAGACTTGGCCCTTACCAGCTAGGGGCCACTCCATTGGCTCTTAGCACCCACCAGCCTCCTTTAGAGGAGGCCTAGAGACCTCCAGAGGCACCATGGAGGCAGGATGGGTTGGGCAGACAACAGATTGGAGTGTCCTCGCCCAGAGGATGCTTCTGGCCTCAATCTCCCCATCCACACAACAAAAGAACACCATGGGGAAGGACAGCCAGCTCACCTTTCTGGGTGAGACCAGCAGCCAGCCTGGGCTATGGCTACTGCTTGTTCTGGTTCTTCCCTAGTTACCAAACTATTACTTAGTTATGGTGTGAAGGGACAGACAGACTTAGGACCAAAGGTGGTAGGTAAACCTCTTTTTCTACCCTAGTAAGCAGCCCCAGCCTTCCTGGGGCAACACTGATTAAGAAATGGGATCAAAGCCACCTTTAGTTTTTCACAGTGTTAGAAAAATTGCAGCCCCACTGCCTTTTGCCTCTAGTCAGCAGGGTTTATGCAGCTGTGTCTCTCCCCAGGAGCCCAGCTCTGGACAGCAGTGGGCCTGGGATTACCTACTACTTGGAGCAGGGCAGGACTCAGGGTTTTGGTTGCAGCTCCAGGCCCAGCTCAGACCAGCCTCATTAGCTTTGGTCCAGGTTTTAGAATAGTACCTACCCACCCACCTTTTGTTGAGAGCTTAAGCATTAGAGGAGAAGGTGGGGCAATTATTTTACACATTTTTAAAAAGTTGTAGGTTAACTTTCAGTAAAAAAAAAAAAAAAAGACAAAGGAGAGGGCATTTTCCCTCTCCTCCCCTCCCCTTCCCTTCCCTTCTAAAGAGCAAGGGGGCTACAATGGCGAGGACTCAAATGATGGTGCAGGACTGCATGGCACCTCCCTTCCGGCTGCCTTGTGTGGGCACAGGTTTGCCCTTCCCGTAGTATCCTGTGAAGATGGCCCTGACTTCCACCTTCTTGGCCAGGTTTAGCATCCAGCGCCCATTGCCCATGGAGTAGAGCTTGCCCCGGCTTAGCTCACCCACCTCCTCACCTCGGTTGCCCCCTTTCTCCTGCCGCACAATCTCTAAAAGATCAAGGCCTGTCTGCACAGCCTCCACATCAGCTGCACAGCCGAGAGTGATGTGGGCACGGCTCCCCTGGGGCAGGGTGTCAGAGGGGGTCAGCTTGTCCACGTCACTTGGCCACAACTGCAGCTCCTGATCGCTCAGCTCTACCCGAGCCCCAGTTGTCTTGGGTGTCACAAAGAGGGCAGAGATGGTCAGCGTGAATGCTTTGCAGTAAGATTTCTTCACCACCTGGGGAGAGTGAAAAAGGCCCAAGCTAGAGATTGTGGCCTCTAAAGAGGTAGCAGACCAAGGGTGGGTCACTCCTAGAGCAGAAAAGGGGAAGTCTAATGGAAGTGAGCACAGCTGAGCAAAGGTTATCATTAAAGACGTCATCCACAAATGGGCAGCACACAGCTTTCCCATGGGCACAGCTCAGGGTATGGTGAGAGAGACAGGCAGCAGGGGTGAATCAGCTCCACCTGCTGAGCTCACAGCCTCTCTCCCCAGTTGCTCTGAGCAAGCTGCTCCACCTCTCAGTGCCTCCTTTGTTCACCTATAAAACAGGGATAATACCAGAGCCTCCCTTGTGAAGGGAGTGTGTCCAGGCATACACAGCAGGTTAGGTCATCACTGCGCAGCTCATGCTGGGACCCAGGTAACAACCTTGGGACTCAGATACACCTTTGAGAAAGCCCATCTCTCCCACCTAACTATGAAAAAGCCTATTTTTGCTCACAATTCCTTGTCTTAACAGTGTCTGGCATGTAATATTTACTAATATGGCTAAATGAAAGAATGGATAGAAATGACAGTGGCAAGTGTTACGTATTCGTTCATTCAACTATGCTAGGGTGCTAGAAACACAGTGAATAAAACTAAAAACTCCCTGCCCTTGGGGAACTCGAATTTGAGTGGGAGAAAACAATGAATAAACAAGTGAAATAATTGTGCTACCCAGGCAGAGAAGGGAGAGCTTGGGACTGAGGTCAGGGAAGGCCTGCCTGAGGAGGCATTGAAGGAAGAAGGTTGGAAGCTGAACTGTTCAACTCTCTGAATACCTGGTGTTTAAAGATCACTGAATCAGCAGCTGTGGGTGTAGGGTATAATCGGTGTGGGTTTAGTACCCATAAGCTAATAAACTCCATATCCTATGAAACTCACTCTGGGGCAAGGCTAGACCCCAGACCTGGGGACAGGAACCTCAGTACCCCTGCTCTCTGGGGGCAAGGGTCTCCTAACCTCTGGAACTTAACACAGGCTCAAGCAGGCCAGAGCAGAAGACTGCTGCTGACTAGCATTCCCCATGAATCTGCAGAAGGCAAAGGCCCCTGTGGGAATGCATAGGCCAGTAGGCACTGCCAGGGCAGGGTCCTTAACAACAGGCAACTGAGATCATTGTGACTAACCCTAGAGACAGGAGAGCTGGAGGGAAAAATGCCATTTTTTCTTGAGCTTCTTGCTGTCTGGTTTCTGGTCCCCATCTGGCACCAGTATCCATCTTCCCCCTTTCCCTCCCCACCTTAACTAGGTATCCCTGGGGAAAACTCACATCCAGTTGGGCGTACTCATCTGCCCCTGTGGCCTTCCCATAGTCACAGAACTTGGTTGTGCAGTGCAGCACACCTGGGGGTCTCTTCCCAAAATAGGTGACCAGGTCAATCTTCTCCCTGGGCTCATCCCCAGATTTAACTGCAAAGAGAAAGGGTACAGTCAGGGCAGAGGAGCAGGGGTATGCCAACACCCACCACCAAGACCTTGGAAGCCCAGAAGAAACTCAGAGGTGACTCTTAAGTTTGGTTTTTTTTTTTTTTTTTTTTGAGACAGTCTCACTTTGTTGCCCTCAGTGGGCAACAAGGTTTGAGCCCCCCAGAATTTGAGATTGCTGTGAGCTGTGACGGTCTTGTCACAGCTCACAGCAACCTCAAACTCTTGGGGGCTCAAGTGATTCTCTTGCCTCAGCCTCCCAAGTACCTGGGACTACAGGTGCCCACTACAACACCCAGCTATTTTCTTTTTAGAGACAAGGTCTCACTCCAGCTCAGGCTGGTCTCAAATATGTGAGCTCAGGCAATCCACCGGCCTTGGCCTCCCAGAATGTTAGGATTACAGGCATGAGACATGAGCCTGGCATGAAGCATAAATTCTTGAGAAATCAATCCAGTATAATCCATTCATTTGCTAACTGATTAAACTAACAGCAGCTTAAGAGCTACCTATAGAATGTGTTTAGGCTGAGTGCAGTGGCTCACACCTATAATCCCAGCACTTTGGGAGGCTGATGCTGTGTGACAATTACTTGAGGCCAGGAGTTAAAGACCAGCCTGTGCAACATAGCAAGATCCTGTCTCTAAAAAAATAAAGATGAAATCAGCCAGGCATGGTGGCACGTGCCTGTAGTCCTAGCTACTAGGGAGGCTAAGCCAGGAGGATCGCTGAAGCCCAGGAGTTTAAGGTTGCTGTGCACTATGATCATGCCAATGCAATTTACCTCAGGTGACAGAGTAAGAATCTGTCTCAGAGGAAAAAAAAAAAGTTTACATTCCCTGGCTTTACTCTGTGTAGATTTTTACATCTCTTCCCTAAACTCTAAGGCATTTTTAATCCAGGAGTAGGTGGTACAGGCCAGGGGTACCTGAGTATCTGAGATTTACCCAGATTTTACCTCCAAAGGGGAAAGCAAGTCATGAAGAGTGGGATGGGAAGAAAAAAAGAGGGCAGGGAACAATCCTATGCAACAGAAGAGCCAGAAAGAACACAAAGTCTCAGTCCTGTGCTTACTAGGCATGTGGCCTGGCCCAAATGACTGGCCCTTATGTGCAAGCCAATACAGCATTTAGGGTGACCATACACCCCCATTTTCAAAAGGCCACCTGGGCAACTTAGTAGCACCCTGTTTCACTCAGGGGCCCATCTGGAGGAGAGCTTATAATGTCACCACTATTTACACACCTTGCAGGCCTATTTGGATGGCATTTATAGCAGACATGAGATGTGGAGTGTCTTATGATTTCAATTTCCAGACTATGCATGTGGCTATTATTGGAGTCACTAGCTTTTTTTTTTT